CAACCCACAAGTTTTCTTACTTTTGCCCTTCCGATTCTCTCCCCCATCCTACCGGAGGGTGGAGAGGGTGAGCAAGCAGCTGGGTGGTGCGTGGCTGCCAACTGGGGTTAAACCACGACAGATAATAACAGGCCACAGACTGGGCACCGACCCAACACCACAAGGTCTCAGGACGTCTCTGGGCTTGCGGTACCCTGAGCTGGGTGTCCCTGTGATCACAAGTGTCCCGTGGCCAAGGGCCTCGTGCCCGACCTGCCTGAGCTCAGCGACGGGACACCCCGCACGGCCAAGGGCTGCTGCCCCGGGCAGGCACTGCCCAGCAAACACCAGTCCTTTGTGTGCCCGGGCTGGGCGCTGGGCAGCTCTGCCACTGGTGCTGGGGACCAGGCGGTGGGGACAAAGCATCTTCAAATAGCCAAAGTGGACACAAGACTTAAGAGGGAAGACATCTTTCATGAACATCAAACTCCTCAAGGTGAAGACCTCAAGACGTTGAGGATTTGCTGTAACACCCCTCGCCCCCTCCCCAACCCTTCTGCTAAGGAAGACTGAATCAGCCTTAGTGCTGCCCAGAGGGACACTGGAAACACGAGCATCACACCAGGGAAAAGGGGCAAGCATTTGTAAGCTTTCTTGTGCAACAGCGTTAAGTTCATTACTATTAAGGAGGCTTTTCTGCTTTAATTTGGACTGCGAGTGTTAGCATTATTGCAACTGAACTAATAACAATCTAACAAAACACAACACTTTAGATTTTAATTAAACGAACAGTAAATTCTTGGCTTCGTATTTATGATGTGCTCCCTTTTGCCCCTAGTGAGATATTAAGCGTAACATTATCGCCATGGCCCAGAGGTCTTCTCCAGGCATCAAAACCAGAAGCTTCAGGTCAAGGCAAACTACAGCAATAAACCTCAGTCTTCTCCTTTAGACAGCGACTCAGATTATTCCTCAGAGCCTTGAACTGGCTTTTCCTGCAGGATCTCATCACATTCACTTCTTTCCCACAGCCATCCAGTTTCTCTCCCCTTTTTCCCCTCCTCTGCTGTTTCCTTGATCTGCTCTTCTCCCACGTTCCTATTTACACTTAACTCCTCTACTGTTGTAACTCCTTTCCCCATGCCGATCCTCCCACAGCAAAGCTTTCAAAATATTTTTGTTTTACACAGAATTACACATAATACAGCCAAGCCTGAGACTAATGTATTGGGTGTTCAACATCTGGTTGTACAATTCACTGCTTTCCCACCAATGCCCAATTTCCATCTTGCAAACCTGATCTGTAAGGAGACGGTAACCTGAACGTGCACTTGGCTACCTTTTGGAAGAGAAGAAAGCCAGGTTTACGATGGCATGAACTATCTGAATTCCCAAAGTACCCCCCATCTGAAGTTTTCTTTTTTAAGCCAACATTAAACAACTAAATACATCATGACTTTTTTTTTTTTTTTTTTTTTT